GAGTGTGTGCGTGTGCGTGCGTGCGTGCGTGTGTGTGTGTGTGCGTGCGTGTGTGTGCGTGCGTGTGTGTGTGTGCGTGTGAGTGCGTTTGTCGGTCACTACGGCCGGTCAAGGGTTGAGGAGGGAGAAGTAAAAATCGCGAGTGCAGCAGCAGCAGCAGCAGGAGGAGGAGCAGGAGGAGGAACGCGCGAGCAGGTGGCGCGGAGGGAGCGGCGCCCTGGGGGGTCTGCGAGGCCGCCCCCCTACCCCCCGCTCGGCCGCCACGGCGAGCGGCGGGGACGGCGCCGCTCGGCCATCGGCACGGGGGAGGGGGGGCGGCGAGGAGAGATGGAGAGGGATGGGGATGAGAAGAGGGAGCGGTAGGAATGAGAGGATGGATAAGAAGGAGTTGGGGTTAGAGGTGGGATGGGAGAAAGATAAATTAATGGGAGGAGAAGAGAATGGATCGCAGTATGAGAAGAGTTGAGGAGGGATGGGAAGAGGACTGATTAGCAGCGGAGAGAAGCGACGAGAAGTTGCATGAGAGATGGGAGGACAGGCATTGGGAAGATTAATGGAAAGAGGCTTTGAGAGAGGGGGAGTGTGATGACGGAGGAGGGATGAGACGTGCAAAGGGAGTAGGCTGAGATTAGGATGAATGTGCGTGTGGATGTGTACTGTAGCGGTGAGCGCTACGTTGCGCTACGAACCCGGCGACCCGAGTTTGATTTCTGCTCACGGCCAACGCCGGTGACGATTATCTGAACCGCTCCTGGGTCGACTCAGCCTTAAGTTAATACCAGGTGCGGTGTGTAAACATCGCCGCTCGGGAGACAAAGGCGGCCGGGCGTGGTGCTGACCACCCACCCCCTCGTGTGCCGTGCCGGCCTTCACTGGTGCTCGCTAACAGCACTTGCCCCAATAGTCTGTTCAGGCTTTACGGGGTATATTTGTCTTTGTTGGTACGTGTGGATGCTGTGGGGATGAGGTCGTTGCTCGCAAGCGCTGAGCACAAGCCCCTCGATGCATCGCGACCTGGCGGCTCCTCCGCCCGATGGTTTTGCAACAAGCACCCCACCAATCGTGGAACAATGGAGCCAGGACAGAGACCACCGGCGGGGCGTTTGTGCCGCGGCCGCCCCGGCGCGACCCGGAGGAGCGAGCGCGGCGAGAACGCGGCGAGAACGCGGCGTCGCTGGCGAGCGATCTCCATGTGTCCGTGCGTGTGCGCGCGTTCCCGTGGTGCGCGCGCGCACACGTGTACCCGTTAATCTGTGTCTGTACGTGCGTACGCCTCTGTTTACACACACGCGCACTCTCACGCACACGTGCCGGGCCACACCGCCGTGCTCGCTCGCAGCACTTGCCCCCGACAGCCCGTGTGGGCTACACGGGGGACCTTTGTCTGCGTGTGATCGATTCTTATTAGACGGATGGGAGGCAGGGGAGCTGCGGGGATTCACGGCGCCCACGCGGGTGGAGCGGAGCGGCGAGCGGCCTCGCTCCCTCCCGCCTCTCCGCGTTGCCGCGTGGTGTGGGCGGCGGGGCGAGGGGCGGTGTCGTCGCGACTCTTCTTCTCGCGGGGCACTCGGGAACGGTGGTGCAGGAAGCCACGGCACGGCTTGGTGCTGGGGGTTTTTTTTTATCCCGGCAGTTTCTACTTTTGAGATTTGCGTTTGGACATCGCCAACGTCGCGGTCACTGCTGGGATTGTCCGTCGGCGCCGCACGACGTGCCGACCGGCGCCCACGGGCCGCTCGCTGGAGCCCATTTGTTCCCGCTTGTCTTCACCTTTAAAGGTCGCGGAGCCTCGCGCAGATTCACACGCATGTGCCAGTGCGCACGTGTGTGGGGAGCAGGCACAGTAGGGAGCACACGTGGTACATTGGCCAGTCATCTCAGTCGGGCAACCCGTGGCATCTTGGTCTGCCCCGTGACCTCCTGCCAGCGGGCGTTCGACACTTCACGTGGCCTTAGCATGCACCTAGCCTGGCACAAGTACCGTGGTGACGTCACCACCACTTAGTGGCGAATGGCGGTTGTTGTTGTTGTTGTGGGGAGCGGTAGTGTAGCAGTCAACGTGCCGCTGTACAAACCTGGTGACCCGAGTTCAATTCGCGCTCGCGGCCACCACCGGTGACGATTATCTGAACTGAACCTGGGCCTCTCCGAGGTTCACTCACATAAGTAGCCGGTGCGGTGTGTAAACATCGGCACCAGGGGAGGAAAAAGCGGTAATCCTGGTCATCCACCCCCTCGTGTGCCATACCGGCCTTCATAAGATGCTCGCTAACAGCACTTGCCCCAACAGTATATGAGAGATTTTCGTCTTTTGTGTGTGTGTAACAATGCATGAACGCAAGCGTCCGTGTGTGCGTGTGTTCACGGGTGATTATCGTCGCGGTAAACAGCGACACCGGATTGCGAGCGTGATCCTTGACCTCCTGGGCCTTGTACCAGCAGCAGCAGCGGCGGCGGCGCCGGCCAAGTGTCTGTGGAGGCGGAGACGGCCGAGCCCCCGGGGTCGTGCCCCCCCCCCACCCTCTCGCCCCCCCCCACCCTCCCGCCCCCCCGCCCCCCCCGAGGTAGTCAGTGCCGTCTCCTCGCGCGTGAATCACCGTTACGACCGTTTCGATTGTCGCAGAATTACGGCGCGGGGTTCAAACGAGCGAGGTGGGTGGGAGGCACGGGCGAGCGCTGTCGTCGACTCCTCGGCTCCGCTCGGCTCACCGTGTCCGCGCGATCCTCCTTGTCGGGTTACGGCGCTGGGACCGGGGTCCCGTGGTGGCGTGCGCCGTGGAGCCGTGGCGCGTTCAAACGAGCGCTATAACCACCGACCGCTTGCTGCGCCGGATCGAGCGGCGCCCTCGGACCCCGCCGCGGGTCGTGGCACGGCGCCCGTCCGCGGCGGTGCCGCTGTCGTGGGGTGACCCGTGACCTGGGTCGCTCGGCGGTCGGCAGGGCTGGCTCTGGGAACACGGCAGCGGCTGAAGCCTGTCGAGCCACGAGTTGCCATGGCGAGTAGAGTCGCACGGTTTGGTGGCAGAGAACTCTAGCCAACCAGATGCTCGCCTGAACCCTAGCCCTAGCACACCAGCCAATCGGTTACGAGCACTCACGGTGATTTCCTGCTCCTGTTTACAGCCCTGAGCCAGTGGTGGATATTCCACAATCCTATGACCGGGGCAAGTCTATCCATGTGACAACTCTTGTTAACTTCCGCACACAACGGGGTGTTTGATTTTATTAACCCTGGTGGGATGATGGGCTGAGTCAATCGCCAACCGAGATTTGAACTCGCAGCCTCTCCCTCCCCCACCCGGCGTTTGCGTTCCGCACGAGCTGCGTGGTGCGCGCCGGGCTCGGCGAGCCACCGCGAGCCACACTCGGCCGAGTGACTGATTTTAAATTTAGCATCATCTCGTGGGTAGCGAGCGGCTCCCTCCTCCGCTGTCTGCCCTGCACCCATCTCGCCGCGCTGTTAATCTGCTTTTCCATTACGAACTGCAAATTGCAGAGACGAGTGAGAGCGCGAGAGAGAGAGACAGAGAGAGAGAGCGGGAGAGAGAGACGGAGCTGGAGAGAAATTGAGAGAGAGACGGAGTGAGAGAAAGAGATGGAGTGAGAGAGAGAGAGAGAGTGGGAGTCTTCACTGTTGCATGGCAAATCGCCACTTTCTCGAGGCACCTCATTACGTTCTCCAATTTGGATCGGTCACAGACGTGGGGGGGTGAGAGATCTTCACCCGGGGGCCGCGCGATGCCTGAGCCAGGGCTGGGGTGGACGGCGCTGGCGCTGGCGATGACGTAGGTGGCGTCGGTGTGTACCTCGTGCTAGCGTACGTGTGGATGGTGTCTGTGCGTGTGTGTACGTAGGTGTTGATGGTGTGTGTGTAGGTGTGGATGGTGTGTGTAGGTGTTGATGGTGTGTGTGTGTAGGTAGGTGCTGATGGTGTGTGTGTAGGTGTGGATGGTGTCTGTGTGTGTGTAGGTAGGTGTTGATGGTGTCTGGGTTTAACCAGGCTGGATTGTGTGAGGAGCTCACAAATCCTTGAAAGATCTGGGCAAAGTCCCATCGGTGAGCTCCTCCGGCAGGCAAGGCTGCGTTGGCTGGGTCATGTAGCCTGCATACCCAATCACCGCATGCCTAAACAGCTTTTGTTCGGCCAGATAGAGGGGGCTAAATGGGCGCGGCACGGGCTAGAGAAGAGATGGGGTGATGTGGTACAGGAGGATGTGGAGCTGAGTGGACTTGTCGATGACAGGTACCAGCGGTGTCAAGATCGGCCACTGTGGAGGAGGCTCGTGAAGGACGCTACTGGGCAGTTGGAGGCATTCGCCCTCCAACAACAACGAAGGGCGGAGGAGCGATGCTCACAACAACGATCGGTGCGCCGGGTGGCTGAAGGAAAGCCAGTTGGCACAGTAGGGGGCACAGGTGGTGCATCAGCCAGTCATCTCAGTCATCTCAGTCATCTCAGTCAGTTGACCCGTGGCACCTGCTGGGTCTGACCCGTGACTTTCCAGCGGGCGTTCGACACTTCACGTGGCCTCAAGGTGCACATGGCCTGGCACAAGCATCGTGGTGACGTCACCACCACTTAGTGGCGAATGGTGGTTTTTGTGTAGGTGTGGATGGTGTGTGTGTGTAGGTGTTGATGGTGTGTGTGTGTGTAGGTGTTGATGGTGTGTGTGTGTGTAGGTGTGGATGGTGTGTGTGTGTCGGTGTGGATGGTGTCTGTGTGTGCAGGTGTTGATGGTGCTTGTCTGTGCATTGAGGATACTTATGATGGTACTGGCGGTGATTTTTACGACGGTGTCGATGGTGCTGGTGTAAGTGTTGATAATGGCCGGTGGCGCCAGTGGTGGCGTTTGGCATACGCGTTGATGTCGTTTCCGAAGCTCGCGCAGATGCCGGTGCTTGTGCCGATCCTCGGGTGAGAGCAATGGTGCTGTCGACGGTGTCGATGTTTGCGTCGGTGGCGAGGGTGATGATGCCGGTGCCGGTGGACCCCTGCCCAGGTGATGCAGGTGGTGCGTGAGCAGATCGTGCGAGCGCTCGTCGCGAGGCCCAAGTCTCTCGACCAGTTCCGCAACAAGCTGCAGTCGCTGAGCTACACGGAGATCCTGAAGATCCGCCAGACGGAGAGGATGAGCCAGGAGGAGGGCGACTCCCACACCGCGCCCATCGTGTCAGTTCCCGCCACGCGACGCCCCCCGCCACCAGCGGTCGCAACACAGGGGGGGGGGGGGGGGGGGGTGGCGCTGCGTGGGCACCGCGAGGGATTTCACCGCACGCGTAGTGAGTGGTGGCGCAGTGGTTAGCGCACCCCGCTACGAAGCCGACGACCGGCTCGTGAATAAAGATAAGTGACATATTCTAACCGGTTCCATGCCTCGGTAGACTCAGCCTTGACTGAGGACCTGATGCCGTGGGTAGACGTCACCGGTCGGAAGACAAAGACGGCCGAGCGAGTTACTCGCCACGCGACCCCCTCGTGCGCCGTGCAGAGGTTCACAGGTGCTCGCAACCAGCACTTGCCCCGACAGTCTGTTCAGGCTGTACGGGGGAGCGTAGTCTGATTGCGTGCGGCTCTGAGCTTCCCTGCCCTGTGCTCTGCCCCCACTCCCAACCCCCCCCCCCCACGCTTCCCCCCAGGGAGCTCAGGGAGAAGCTGCAGCCGGAGATCTTGGACCTGATCAGGAAGCAGCGACTCAACCGGCTGTGTGAGGGGACGCTGTTCCGCAAGATCAGCAGCCGGCGCCGCCAAGGTGCAGCAGCCACACGGGACACGGGACACCGGGACACGAGACGTGGGACACGAGACATGGGACACTGGACACGAGACGCGGGACACGAGACGTGGGACACTGGACACGAGACGCGGGACACGGGACACGAGACGTGGGACACGGGACATGAGACGTGGGACACTGGACACGAGACGCGGGACATGAGACGTGGGACACTGGACACGAGACGCGGGACACGGGACACGAGACGTGGGACACGGGACACGAGACGTGGGACACTGGACACGAGACGCGGGACACGAGACGTGGGACACTGGACACGAGACATGGGACACGGGACACGAGACGTGGGATACGGGACATGAGACGTGGGACACTGGACACTGGACACTGGACGCGGGACACAAGACGTGGGACACGGGACGCGGGACACGGGACATGAGACGTGGGACACGAGACATGGGACACGAGACGTGGGACACGGGACACGGGACACGAGACGTGGGACACGAGACGTGGGACACGGGACACGGGACACGAGACGTGGGACATGAGACGTGGGACACGGGACGCGGGACACGAGACGTGGGACACGGGACACGAGACGTGGGACACGAGACGTGGGACACGGGACACGGGACACGAGACGTGGGACACGGGACATGAGACGTGGGACACGGGACGCGGTGGGTCACGGGACACGTTCCATCGGACACGGGACATGGGTGTGAACAGTGGCTTCAATCGAGGACCCCGGAACGCTGCGACTCTGTGATTGAAATCACCGCTCGAAATGACGACAAACCGCATCCCGACAGAGACGTTCGTACAGACAGAGAGTTATTGCTGCGCACCTCCGTGCGTCGTTCAACCTACGAGTGGCGGTACTAACGGCGCCGCCGCCGCCGTGCGGTTCTGTCTGCCAGACAAGTACTGGTACTGCCGGCTCTCGCAGAACCACAAGGTGCTTCACTACGGCGACGTGGAGGAGGGGACGGGGGTTCCGTCTATCGAAGCCCTGCAGGAGAAACGTGAGTCTCGCTCCGGCGGCGTGACGCGAGTGAGGGGGGGCGGGGGGAGGGTAGGGGGAGGGCCACGGCTGAACACTCTCCGGGGTCGTGGGGAGCAGCGGCGGCGGCCCGGTTCAAAACAAAATCCACCGCGTAGAACGCAGGCGGCGTCGTGTGTTTACTTCCCCCGGCGTGTTTTCCGAGCCTCCGAGTCGCTCGCCCTCGATAAGTGAGGAGCGGCTCGTGATTAAACGCAGTGCCCATAACTACTATCCGTCCTCGGGCAATGGAGAGCGAGCCGAGCAGCACACATCTTCCATCTTGAGCGATACAATAAAATTCACACGCAGACCATTGGCCTGCTTCCCGCATCTGTCCCTCGACACGGACCACGGAACCATTTGTCGCGCATGCCGTTGGCCGCACGGCCTGCTGGGAGCGCGTATTGCAGCAGGAATGATTCAACCGTGCACCGGTTTCCACATTCGGCGTCTCGTCGGCTGGGACCTGCAAAATAAAGATTTGTATTTTTTTATGTGGAGGGACCGATATGGGATGGAGGGGAATGGTTTGCGTGTTTATCTTGGTTTACCGCGCGAGTTTTAAAACCGCGAGGCGATATTGTCACCGAACGATCGAGAGCGGCGGCGGCGCAGCGCGGAGTTTCTCGCGATGACGCCGCCCTCGTCGCACGTGGATTCCGCAGTGGCCATCGTCGACGTGAAGGCGGTGGTGACAGGGAAGGACTGCCCCCACCTCAAGGATAAGAGCACCCAGAGGCAGAACAAGGTACAGCGCGCCACACCGCCGCCACCGCGAGGGGTCCCTCGTCACACACACGCACTTCGGCTTGCACGCGTCCCGTGGTGTCCACGTCGTGTCCACGTGGTGCTCACGTGGTGTTCACGTGGTGATCACGTGGTGTTCACGTGGTGATCACGTGGTGATCACGTGGTGTTCACGTGGTGTTCACGTGGTGATCACGTGGTGTTCACGTGGACACCACGTGGTGTTCACGTGGTGTTCACGTGGTGTTCACGTGGTGATTACGTGGTGTTCACGTGGACACCACGTGGTGTTCACGTGGTGTTCACGTGGTGTTCACGTGGTGATCACGTGGTGTTCACGTGGACACCACGTGGTGTTCACGTGGTGATCACGTGGTGTTCACGTGGTGTTCACGTGGTGATCACGTGGTGTTCACGTGGACACCACGTGGTGTTCACGTGGACACCACGTGGTGTTCACGTGGTGTTCACGTGGTGATCACGTGGTGTTCACGTGGTGTTCACGTGGTGTTCACGTGGACACCACGTGGTGTTCACGTGGACACCACGTGGTGTTCACGTGGTGTTCACGTGGTGTTCACGTGGTGATCACGTGGTGTTCACGTGGACACCACGTCATGTCCACGTGGTGTCCACGTGGTGTTCACGTGGTGATCACGTGGTGATCACGTGGTGTTCACGTCGTGTCAACGTGGTGTTCACGTGTGCCATGCGTTGCTCACAGGAGATGCAGGACCTGGCGTTCTCCATCCTCCACGACCCCGACGAGGCCCTCAACTTCATCGCCCCCAACAAGTACGAGGTGAGCGCCGCGCCATCCACCCGTTCGTCGTTCACGAACAACGAGCGCAGAACCGGCTGGAGCGCGTGGCACGCACTCGGTCGCCGCCCCGCTCCCGGAATATCTCAACGTGTCCTGGGCTTCCCCGAGGTCCAATCGGCATCAAACGAGTACCCGGTGCGGTGCACGTGAAACATTGCCGCAAGCGGCGCTTGCCACGACGGTTTGCTGAGGCCGCATGGGGGATCTTTGTCTTTGTGCGTGGGGAGCAGTACTGCGTGTGGACGGACGGGCTGAGCGCCCTGCTGGGAAAGGAGATGGGCAGCGAGTACACGCGCACCGACCTGGAGATGCTGCTCAGCATGGAGATCAAGCTGCAGCTGCTGGACCTGGAGAGCATCCCCATCCCTGAGACGGCGCCGCCACTCCCCAAAGAGCCGAGCAACTTCGACTTTGCCTACGACTACAGCTAGCCCCCCCTCGCCCCCCACGGCCACCCTCCTCGCCCCTTCTCCTTGCCCCCCCTCTCCTTGCCCCCCTTCGCTCTCCCCCTCGCCCCCCCTCGCCTCCCTCTCCCACTCCCCGCGGCGTCCGCGACGTGATGGGCCCCGCCGACAACTGCCGTCGCCGGCCTTGCCGCTGGGGCGCAACCCTGCGCCTGACCCGTGAACCTTGACCCCGGGTCTCCCTCCTTTCTCCGCCTCCTCTCCCCATTTTCCCCAGTTTCTCTGCCTGGTCTCCCTCCTCCTCCCCCCACCCCGCCGTGATCTCCCTTCGTCTGCTCCCCGATTTGCGCCCCCCGTTTCTCCGCCGCCGCGTTCTGCCGCCGGGACGGCGAGCGTTCGGCACGGCTAGCGCCAGACTCCGGTCAAACCCGCGCAATGATCCGTGTTCGGTTCGGCACCGAGCGATCGTCGGCCGGCGTAGTCAGAGTGCGGCGTTTCCTTGTGAGCGCGGAGCTCGACGGATGCCCCCGCCCATCGACAAAGCTCGGCTCCCACGGTGTCGTCAAACGCACGCCGTCGACGAAGTCCCTAATGTCACGTTGACAAAATGTGAACATGTTGTACTTTCTGTCATTAACTCTGTCGTCTCCTAACCCTGTGAGGCCCGCGACGGGCCGTGGCACGGCACGGGACCGCAAGGCAGCTGCGTTTGTGGTTGTGCCTGTGGGGGAGAGGCCGAGCGGTTGGTGCCGGCGCCGTAACTTTCTAGGGCACGGTGCCGTGGCACGGTGCCGTGGCTCGGTGTGACCCACGGCTAAAATTCCACGTAAACCGGCGTTTGTGTCGCGGCTGGAATCGGAGCCATGGATTGGTGTGGCCTCGTCTCGCGATCCGTGCCCTGGTGATCCCCAGGGCCGGGGCGACCGGTGAGTTTATTAAATTCCCGTCATAGTTTTCAGAGCTCGGAGACTTGAGACGTTCCGTGCATTGGTTGCGTGCCAGCTTTTCTCCGCATCGCTGCCGATGTCCCCTGCGAAGTCAGTATTATACCAGAGCAGTATTGTGTGTGTGTGTGCTTGTGTGTGCGTGTGTGTGCGTGCGTGCGCTTGATGATCGTTCGCTGCGTTTGTGCCACCGTAGCGAGATCGCCCGTCAGGTTGGTGTACGAGTTGTGGTTAACCAGCACAGTCTTCGTCCAATAAAGATGTTCGATATTTAACGTCGCCTGTCGAACGCCGTCCTTTCTCGCACCTCTCGTCTCCGGCGTTCCCTACCCCCCCCTCTCTCCCCGAGTAGCTATAACTTCGCTGAAACAGGGACATCTCGGCCCCTAGCTTTGCATACTTTCATCAGTGCTGCCTGTCTTTGATCGTCACGCCGATGACAAATCTGTTTTATGATTGAGGAAAACGTCGTGGTTTGAACCCCGTCCGGGACGGAAATTTTCCCGAAGCAGCCGCTGCACCATCTCGGTATCCGGTGCAGCGTCACGCGCGGAGACCGGCACACGCTGGCGTTGGTGCTCCCGGTAGCGCCCGGACCTTCGACCGGAGACCACGCCGAGCAATTTGCCTCTCGGTGTAAAGGTCACGGCCTGAATCGATCGCGCCGCCTCGCCCGGGTGTTCCGGGGGCCTCCTCTTGGCTCCACGCCCACGCTGGTCGGGGGTCGCCCGGCTAGCGGGGCGAAGGTCGCCGCCGCCGCGCGGACCGTGCCGAGGGTCACAGAGCCGGCGGGAGCCGAGCTGCATCTATGGCGGACGCGGGGAGCGGGGAGGAGCGGCGGGGAGCGTTCCGCCTGCAGGCTGTGTTGGACGAGTTCCGCGGTTGCGTGGACGAGCGGGGGGACGTGCTGCTGGCGGGATACCTGCTCGGGTGGAAGGAGCTGGTGAGGTACGCGGAGCCCGGGGGCACGGAGAGGCGGTGTGACGTGGGGATGGTCAAGAGGAGCGGCCGTGGCGGTGGCTGGCTGGCACGGAGGGCTGTGATCCCCAGCGTCTCACTGAATATTTTCCGGCTCGCTGGTTAGATCAGAATAGGGGGCATTTGATTCGTAGTAGGCACAGTTGTCGATGTACAGTGGATGTGGTGTGCCACTTATCCAGACAGATCTGGATGAAATTAAGTCCTGATTGTGACACGGCTGTAAGTGATGACATGCTGTGGGTGACTGGCAGGGTTCGGTCGCAGAAGTGTGGTGTTGTCATGTGGGAGGAATCTGGAATTACCAGAGAAAACACTCACACGCCAGGGGGTAACCTCTTCCAAGCAGTTGACCAAACTCGATCCTGCTTACCTTGTGAGATCCGACGAGATCCGGTGCGTTCATGGCGGGTGAATGTGACAGCGACGTGTAACCACAGTGACTGCAGCTGTTAGATGCCCATGATCAGAGCTCTGTGGAACGGAATTTTGACCGGGACTCTCAATGTTGCCATTTTGGCCTAATTTTCCACGTGGCAATCTTCACCCCCTTACTGCGAAAAGTTGGCAGGACCCTCCTAACAACGAGTCGTGAGATTTGGTGCGGGTTTCCTGGACCCCACCCCACTCCACCTCGCCGCACCTTGCCGTGTCCGCGCTGCTGCAGGTTCATGAACGGCCTGGGCGCCGTCTTCTCCTTCATCTCGAGGGACGCGGCGACGAAGATCAACATCCTGCAGGGCCTACTCGACGGAGAGGAGGCGCACAACTACCGCACCCTACAGGCCATGGCCCGACTGGAGGTGGCCCACACTCCGGCATTCTCTGCAGCACCCGGCCACGTGCACTCGGGCTGCCGCGACTTCCTGCGACTGCACCGCGCGCTGCTGTGGCTGCACCTGTTCCTGGAGAAGCTGCGCACGAGTGACGAGGCCTCGGAGCGGCCCTCCGTCCTGTGCGCCGAGGCGTACGGGGCCTCTCTCGCTCAGCATCACCCGTGGCTGGTGCGCAGGGCCTCGGCCCTGGCCTTCCGCACGCTGCCCGCCCGCCAGGTCTTCCTGGCCCGGCTGGGCGCAGGCCCCGAGAAGGAGGTTCTGGCCGTGCTGGGAGAGACGGTACCGGCCATCGTGAAGGTGTATGACATCTCGCAGCGCCTCTACGAGCACTACCAGATCCTCTCCCTGCCGTAGGAAAGGGTTTGGCGATTCACCCTCAAGTTGGGAAGTTCGGAAACATGATGGTATTGGATGGCCACTGTCGATGGAGCTTGCGGGTGTGCGTGGATCCATCTGTGCAGAGCTCCCAACGATGCCCTGTCGTGTGCCTGGTGGATTTTCTCCAGGTACCGTGGTTTTATAAAGAAAAATACTGGAAAGAACTGTGGTTCGATTTTGACAAAAATTACGTACCAACCTATGTCGATTTTTATGAATAAATTTTCCTCATGTTTTCAGAAAATTCAATAAAGTCACTCATTTGCACTAAAACAGTAGTTCTGCCTGATTATTTTCATGAAAAATTCATTTATTCTGAAAAAAATCGAGGAAAAAAACATCCACGTAGTTAAAAATAAAAAAACGCTAAAATTCCAATGGTTTTCACGAGAATGGGCTCGCCTAAGTACGGTCCGTTGTTTTATAAAGAACAAGTAAACCCGTAAAAACAAAGTTTTTCACTCTAAATCCTTTATATGCGTGGCGGCTAGAGTTCTCTCGTCCTCTGGCTTGAGATGGCTGCAATCTATGGGTCAGATGATTGTCTGCCAGTATTAAGCAATTGGTAATTAAATATTTAATTAGTTTTCCCTAAACAGTGTAAAATTTTGGAAAAAAAATTCACGAAAATTAATTGTCACACACAACGAGTCTGTGTGGAAAATGTCAGCTCGATTGGATCACGGGAAGTGGGTTAAACAACGAGCGAAAGATTTGCACGGTCCTAAGCAAGCAAGCGAACTTAATATAAAGGATTTAAAAATATATTCGCCTGTGCAGGACGCGGGGATCGATCCCGCGAACTTTGGCATGGGAAGCGAGGGCGCTACTAACTGCGCTACTCCACCACGGCCTGTGGAGGGGTTACGCTCTGGGCTCTTGCACTGTGATGTTCAGCCAAAGCCATGAATGCGTTCTATTTGAATATATGTAAAATAATTTTTTTTGGCCTAAAAAGTGTAAAATTTTGGGAATTTTTTTTCACGAACAATAATTGTCTGGCACAACGAGTCTGTGTGGAAAATGTCAGCTCGATTGGATCACGGGAAGTGGGTTAAAAAACGACCGAAAGATTTGCACGGTCCTAAGCAAGCAAGCAAGCACGCGAACTTAATATAAAGGATTTAAAAATACTGGAAAATACTGTTGTTCGATTTTGACAAAAATGACATACTGTCGATTTTTACGAAAAATTATGCTCATGTTTTCGGAAAATTCAATAAGGAATTCACTCATGTGCATTAAAACTGTAGTTCTGCCTGATTATTTTCATGAAAAATTATTTTATTCTGAAAAAAATTAAAAAAATAACATCCAGATGATTGTTGAAAAATGCTATAACACGCTCAAATTTCAATGGATTTCACGAGAATGTGCTCGTATAAGTACGGCCTATTGTTTTATAAAAAAAATACTGGCAGGAAATGTGGTTCGATTTTGACAAAAATGACGTACTAACCTTTGTCGATTTTTATGAATAAATTATGCTCATATTTTCAGAAAATTCAATAAAGAAGTCACTCATTTGCACTCAAACTGTAGTTCTTCCTGATTATTTTCATGAAAAATTAATTTATTCTGAAAAAAATGGGGGGAAAAACATCCACGTAGTTGTTAAAAAATAAACGCAAAAATTCCAATGGTTTTCACGAGAATGTGCTCGCCTAATACGGCCCATTGTTTTATAAAGAAAAATACTGGAAAATACTGTAGTTCGATTTTGACAAAAAATGACATACTAACCTCTGTCTATTTTTACGAAAAAATGATGCTCATGTTTTCGGAAAATTCAATAAGGAATTCACTCATGTGCATTAAAACTGTAATTCTGCCTGATTATTTTCATGAATAATTATTTTATTCTGAAAAAAATTGATAAAAAAAACATCCAGATGATTGTTGAAAAATGCTAAAAACACGCAAAAATTTCAATGGATTTCACGAGAATGTGCTCGCATAAGTACGGCCTATTGTTTTATAAAAAAAATACTGGCAGGAAATGTGGTTCGATTTTGACAAAAATGACGTACTAACCTATGTCGATTTTTATGAATAAAATTTCCTCATATTTTCAGAAAATTCAATAAAGAAGTCACTCATTTGCACTCAAACTGTAGTTCTTCCTGATGATTTTCATGAAAAATTCATTTATTCTGAAAAAAATGGGGGGAAAACATCCACGTAGTTGTTAAAAAAATAAACGCAAAAATTCCAATGGTTTTCACGAGAATGTGCTCGCCTAATACGGCCCATTGATTTATAAAGAAAAATACTGGCAGGAAATGTGGTTCGATTTTGACAAAAATGACGTACTAACCTATGTCGATTTTTATGAATAAATTTTACTCATATTTTCAGAAAATTCAATAAAGAAGTCACTCATTTGCACTAAAACTGTAGTTCTTCCTGATTATTTTCATGAAAAATTCATTTATTCTTAAAAAAATGGGGGGAAAAAATATACACTTAGTTGTTAAAAAATAAAAAAAAATAAACGCTAAAATTCCAATGGTTTTCACGAGAATGGGCTCGCCTAAGTACGGTCCATTGTTTTATAAAGAAAAATACTGGAAAATACTGTGGTTCGATTTTACGAAAAAATTATGCTCATGTTTTCGGAAAATTAAATAAGAAATTCACTCATGTGCATTAACACTGTAGTTCTGTCTGATTATTTTCATGAAAAATTATTTTATTCTGAAAAAAACAAAAACACATCCAGATGATTTAGATTTAAAGCTTTCGTGACTGCAGGGATTCATCTTCTTGGTTCTTTCGGTAAAGTCACGTAGAATGGAAATAATAAAATAATAAAAATAAAACTATAAAATAATTCTCACGACGTTTCGGCCACAACGCAAGCAGCCGTCCTCAGGTGACTCTGTCTCCTCGACAGACCTGTTCTCCACCTGAGGACGGCTGCTTGCGTTGGTGGCCGAAACGTCGTGAGAATTATTTTATTGTTATTATTTCCATTCTACGTGACTTTACCGAAAGAACCAAGAAGATGCATCCAGATGATCGTTGAAAAATGCTAAAACACGCTAAAATTTCAATGGAATTCACGAGAATGGGCTCGAGTAAGTAGGGCCCATTGTTTAATAAAAAAAATACTGGCAGGAAATGTTCGATTTTGACAAAACTGACGTACTAACCTATGTCAATTTTTATGAATAAATTATGCTCATATTTTCAGAAAATTCAATAAAGTCACTCATTTGCACTCAAACTGTAGTTCTTCCTGATTATTTTCATGAAAAATTCATTTATTCTGAAAAAAATGGGGTGAAAAACATCCACGTAGTTGTTAAAAAATAAACGCAAAAATTCCAATGGTTTTCACGAGAATGTGCTCGCCTAATACGGCCCATTGATTTATAAAGAAAAATACTGGAAAATACTGTGGTTCGATCTTGACAAAAATGACATACTAACCTGTCGATTTTTACGAAAAAATTATGCTCATGTTTTCGTAAAATTCAATAAGAATTCACTCATGTGCACTAAAACTGTAGTTCCGCCTGATTATTTTCATGAATAATTATTTATTCTGAAAAAAATTGGTAAAAAAAACATCCAGATGATTGTTGAAAAATGCTAAAAACACGCTAAAATTTCAATGGATTTCATGAGAATGTGCTCGCATAAGTACGGCCTATTGTTTTATTAAAAAATACTGTCAAGAAATGTGGTTCGATTTTGACAAAAATGACGTACTAACCTATGTCGATTTTTATGAATAAATTATGCTCATATTTTCAGAAAATTCAATAATGAAGTCACTCATTTGCACTCAAACTGTAGTTCTTCCTGATTATTTTCATGAAAAATTCATTTATTCTGAAAAAAATGGGGGGAAAAACATCCACGTAGTTGTTAAAAAAAATAAACGCAAAAATTCCAATGGTTTTCACGAGAATGTGCTCGCCTAATACGGCCCATTGATTTATAAAGAAAAATACTGGCAGGAAATGTGGTTCGATTTTGACAAAAATGACGTACTAACCTATGTCGATTTTTATGAATACATTTTCCTCATATTTTCAGAAAATTCAATAAAGAAGTCACTCATTTGCACTAAAACTGTAGTTTTTCCTGATTATTTTCATGAATAATTATTTATTCTGAAAAAAATTGGTAAAAAAAACATCCAGATGATTGTTGAAAAATGCTAAAAACACGCTAAAATTTCAATGGATTTCACGAGAATGTGCTCGCATAAGTACGGCCTATTGTTTTATAAAAAAAATACTGGGAGGAAATGTGGTTCGATTTTGACAAAAATGACGTACTAACCTATGTCGATTTTTATGAATAAATTATGCTCATATTTTCAGAAAATTCAATAAAGAAGTCACTCATTTGCACTGAAACTGTAGTTCTTCCTGATTATTTTCATGAAAAATTCATTTATTCTGAAAAAAATGGGGGGAAAAACATCCACGTAGTTGTTAAAAAATAAACGCAAAAATTCCAATGGTTTTCACGAGAATGTGCTCGCCTAATACGGCCCATTGATTTATAAAGAAAAATACTGGCAGGAAATGTGGTTCGATTTTGACAAAAATGACGTACTAACCTTTGTCGATTTTTATGAATAAAATTTCCTCATGTTTTCAGAAAATTCAATAAAGAAGTCACTCATTTGCACTAAAACAGTAGTTCTGCCTGATTATTTTCATGAAAATTTCATTTATTCTGAAAAAAGTGGGGGGAAAAAACATCCAGGTAGTTGTTAAAAAAAAACGATAAAATTTCAATGGTTTTCACGAGAATGGGCTCGCCTAAGTACGGTCGATTGTTTTATAAAGAAAAAGTACTGGAAAATACTGTGGTTCGATTTTGACAAAAAATGACATACTAACCTCTGTCTATTTTTACGAAAAAATGATGCTCATGTTTTCGTAAAATTCAATAAGAATTCACTCATGTGCACTAAAACTGTAGTTCCGCCTGATTATTTTCATGAATAATTATTTATTCTGAAAAAAATTGGTAAAAAAAACATCCAGATGATTGTTGAAAAATGCTAAAAACACGCTAAAATTTCAATGGATTTCACGAGAATGTGCTCGCATAAGTACGGCCTATTGTTTTATAAAAAAAATACTGGGAGGAAATGTGGTTCGATTTTGACAAAAATGACGTACTAACCTATGTCGATTTTTATGAATAAATTATGCTCATATTTTCAGAAAATTCAATAAAGAAGTCACTCATTTGCACTGAAACTGTAGTTCTTCCTGATTATTTTCATGAAAAATTCATTTATTCTGAAAAAAATGGGGGGAAAAACATCCACGTAGTTGTTAAAAAATAAACGCAAAAATTCCAATGGTTTTCACGAGAATGTGCTCGCCTAATACGGCCCATTGATTTATAAAGAAAAATACTGGCAGGAAATGTGGTTCGATTTTGACAAAAATGACGTACTAACCTTTGTCGATTTTTATGAATAAAATTTCCTCATGTTTTCAGAAAATTCAATAAAGAAGTCACTCATTTGCACTAAAACAGTAGTTCTGCCTGATTATTTTCATGAAAATTTCATTTATTCTGAAAAAAGTGGGGGGAAAAAACATCCAGGTAGTTGTTAAAAAAAACGATAAAATTTCAATGGTTTTCACGAGAATGGGCTCGCCTAAGTACGGTCGATTGTTTTATAAAGAAAAAGTACTGGAAAATACTGTGGTTCGATTTTGACAAAAAATGACATACTAACCTCTGTCTATTTTTACGAAAAAATGATGCTCATGTTTTCGTAAAATTCAATAAGAATTCACTCATGTGCACTAAAACTGTAGTTCCGCCTGATTATTTTCATGAATAATTATTTATTCTGAAAAAAATTGGTAAAAAAAACATCCAGATGATTGTTGAAAAATGCTAAAAACACGCTAAAATTTCAATGGATTTCACGAGAATGTGCTCGCATAAGTACGGCCTATTGTTTTATAAAAAAATACTGGCAGGAAATGTGGTTCGATTTTGACAAAAATGACGTACTAACCTATGTCGATTTTTATGAATAAATTATGCTCATATTTTCAGAAAATTCAATAAAGAAGTCACTCATTTGCACTGAAACTGTAGTTCTTCCTGATTATTTTCATGAAAAATTCATTTATTCTGAAAAAAATGGGGGGAAAAACATCCACGTAGTTGTTAAAAAATAAACGCAAAAATTCCAATGGTTTTCACGAGAATGTGCTCGCCTAATACGGCCCATTGATTTATAAAGAAAAATACTGGCAGGAAATGTGGTTCGATTTTGACAAAAATGACGTACTAACCTTTGTCGATTTTTATGAATAAAATTTCCTCATGTTTTCAGAAAATTCAATAAAGAAGTCACTCATTTGCACTAAAACAGTAGTTCTGCCTGATTATTTTCATGAAAATTTCATTTATTCTGAAAAAAGTGGGGGGAAAAAACATCCAGGTAGTTGTTAAAAAAAAACGATAAAATTTCAATGGTTTTCACGAGAATGGGCTCGCCTAAGTACGGTCGATTGTTTTATAAAGAAAAAGTACTGGAAAATACTGTGGTTCGATTTTGACAAAAAATGACATACTAACCTCTGTCTATTTTTACGAAAAAATGATGCTAATGTTTTCGGAAAATTCAATAAGGAATTCACTCATGTGCATTAAAACTGTAATTCTGCCTGATTATTTTCATGAATAATTATTTTATTCTGAAAAAAATTGGTAAAAAAAACATCCAGATGATTGTTGAAAAATGCTAAAACACGCAAAAATTTCAATGGATTTCACGAGAATGTGCTCGCATAAGTATGGCCTATTGTTTTATAAAAAAATACTGGCAGGAAATGTGGTTCGATTTTGACAAAAATGACGTACTAACCTATGTCGATTTTTATGAATAAAATTTCCTCATATTTTCAGAAAATTCAATAAAGAAGTCACTCATTTGCACTAAAACTGTAGTTCTTCCTGATTATTTTCATGAAAAATTCATTTATTCTGAAAAAAATAGGGGGGGAAATATACACTTAGTTGTTAAAAAATAAAAAAAATAAACGCAAAAATTCCAATGGTTTTCACGAGAATGTGCTCGCCTAATACGGCCCATTGATTTATAAAGAAAAATACTGGAAAATACTGTGGTTCGATCTTGACAAAAATGACATACTAACCTGTCGATTTTTACGAAAAAATTATGCTCATGTTTTCGTAAAATTCAATAAGAATTCACTCATGTGCACTAAAACTGTAGTTCCGCCTGATTATTTTCATAAATAATTATTTATTCTGAAAAAAATTGGTAAAAAAAACATCCAGATGATTGTTGAAAAATG